AGCTGCAGAGGCATTTCCTTCGGCTGCAGAAGTGGGCTGGCTGGCTGGGGCTGTTGGTGCTGCCACCGCAAGGTGAGATCATGGAAAAGACAGCCCCCCCCCCCAAAGTGTCTCTTTTGGAGACAAAAAAAAAAAAGACCGAGTCTTACTTTCAGGGAAACACGGTCATAAGGCTATTGTGATTTGAAATTTCTGTGATATATAGTACCTTCATATTGCTTTGTAATAGAAGTCTAGTCATCACAATTTTTACTTTTAAATTTATGAAGGTGTTAAATTATGTGAGAATATTTATTATAATTATGTCTTCTTCAAAGCTGAATGAACGTTTCCCATTTAGTAACTTATTCCCTTCAGCTATTTACTGATTTATTTATTCATTCATTCATTTACTGGACTTTATACCACTTAAAATTAACCGTTTCTGAAGTATCTAGCTCAGCATACATTTTGGAGAAGAAGTGTTCAGTGGTTAAACTTAAATGGATGAAAGTCTGGACAGCTGTTTGAATGACTGAAAATAAACTTTAGAAGTTTGTCCAATTAATCCACTGAAATCTTAATATAAGAAAGGTCATTGGATCATTGGATCCAGTCCCTTATCACTCCAGGGATGTAAATGAAAGCAACTTTTCCAGAGATTTGTCCAACCCTCAATTTAAACATCTCCAGCAATAACTTCAAATACATCATATCTCCAGGTAGTTGCTTTCACTGTTCATGTACTAGGTAGCTTTCCTTTACATTTAATTGGAATCTACTTTTGTATAATAGTTCTGTTGCTCCACATCCTGCCTCCTGGAATGAAAGAAGTCTTGATTGTTTTCTAAGTGCTTCAGATATTTAGAGAATGTGGTATCATATACTTCATCATTCTTTCCTTCTTAGGGCTATTTAAATCTCTTCATAAGGATTAGTTTCTAGTTCCCTGATCAACTTTACCATCCTTCTCTGAATCTGTTCCACATGACTAAAATTCATTTTAAAGCATGATCTCCAGAAACTGATACAGTTCTGAAGGTGGAGTTTGAGTCAAGGTGGAGTAGTGTGCTAGTGCCAGCTTGTACTGACTTGCAAGAGCCAATTGTTAAATGTTTTTGGAATTTTGTGGGTCACTTGAGAGCAGAGCTAAACCACTATGGCTGGTGCACTGATCAATCATTCTGCAAGTAGTGGCAGTGGAGTGGCAATGGAGCTGGAAGTGTTGGTGAAGCCTGCCAGGTTTTTTTTCTAGAAAGCCAGTTGCTGAATATTTACCACAACACCATTGGGAGTGACTAGTGTGGAATAAAGTGTAACTACAGGTAGTCCTTATTTAGTGACTATCTCGTTTTAGCAACTATTTGCAGTTACAACAATGGTGAAAAAGTAACTTCGTAACCAATCTTCTCATTTATAACCTTCACTGGTCTGTAAAGCAAAGGAAAGCTGATGACAGATCATAAGTATAGTTGTAGTTCCCCTTAATGACCATTTCACTTGACAACCGAATTGCCAGTCCCAATTGTGGTTGCTAAACAATAACTACCTGTTTTACTTTTGGTGATATTGTTATTGATGCAACTTAAAAGTACATTTGCCACTTTTGTACCAAATTATACTGCTGACTCACATTCATTATGTAACTAGGTTATATTCCTATATTCATATCACAAATACTGTTGCAAAGCCAATTATCTCCTATCCTTATCAGAACTGAATTTGGTGAGGCGGGAACCATTACTTATCTTCCCTATTTTGAGATGTTTTGATTCTGTCTTTGCCAAGTGCAGCCCTTGCAGTATTATATCTGATTTGATTTCTGTTTCCTAACTGCATTAACCTGCTTTTGTCTGTGTTAAATTTTATTCTGTTAGTTCAGCTTGTTTATCTAACTTGTCAAAATAATTTTGAATGCTGTTCCTCTCTTCTAGGATATTTGATTTCCTATGAAATTTTGTGTAATAAGTAAATTTTATAATACTTCTTACTTCCTCATCTAAAATTTAATGAAAAATATAGGTCAGTTCAGGGCTCAGGATTGTGAATTCCCATTGAATTCCTAAATCTGCTTTGAAAAAGGGCCATTGATAAGCATTTTCAACTGTATTCAGCTTCTAGCTTTAGAACATTATTATGCTCATGGTAGAAAAACTTTCAGTAGAAGTAATTTAATAATTTAGCAGCTTACAACTATATCCAAAAATAACTTCCATCTAATTCACTTGTATTATTTCTGTAATTTGTTTTCCAGAAGGATCTATAATTATCTGAGTATTAGGGGAAAAAGGAAGACACATTTTAGCCAGTAGATGAAAATTGAAAGCCACAGTCTGGCCTTTACCTTTATTAAACCTGATTCAAGTTGTAAGAATGCATTAGAAACACAACAACACATCTGAAATGCCACCCTGAGGAATTTGTATTGAACGAGTTCCAAGGGGCCAAATCTACAAAATAGTGCCAGCTAAACTCTACCTGTGAACTAAGCCAGAGATTTAGTTTGAAATATTAAAGCTGATTCTAATTTGGTCCTTGAATCAGTTTAAATCTTAAGTGGGGCATCTGTAGATATGTGATATTTCAAATATTACACTATGTATTTCTATTGCTACCAATGAAGAGCTAAAGGAAATATTATATTCACTGTAAAATAAAAATGATATATAGATAGTCCTCAACTTACAAGCACAATTGAGCCCAAAATTTCCATTGCTAAGCATGACTGAGTTGTTAATTGAATCACTGTAGTTGTTAAGTTAGTAACACAGTTGTAAAGTGAATCTGGCTTCCCCATTGACTTTGTTTGTCAGAAGGTCGCAAAAGGTGACCACATGACAACCATCATAAATATGAGCCAGTTCCCAAGTGGCTGAATTTTGATCACATGACCATGGCGATGTTGCTGTAAAAAGCAGTCATAAATCATTTTTTTCAGTGCCATTGTAACTTCAAACAGACACTAAACAAATGGTTGTTAAGTCGAGGACTACCTGTAATGGAAAATGATATCCTTTGTCAGAATTCTTTGACATCTTATCATTGCATCTTGTGTTTCTTAAATTGTTAAATCAACATTTGGGTTTTTTGACATCATTTTATTGATACAAGGATGCAGTAAACTGGCAGCAATATGCATTGAAGTAAAACTTAATTTGGAATATTTGGCTTTGCAGTCCTTTTTTAAAATAGCATTTTAAAGTTATTTAAATTTTAACACTATTATTTTGTACCTAAACTTGGTAGACGTTACCAGCTATTAATTTAGAACCGATCAGAAAGCAAATAATTGTCTTTGAAATATTTACCTCAATCAATATTAAGATCTGTAAAATCTATTATTTGTTGTTTTCATTTCCTTACAAACAATTCTGAAGTCATATTTATAAAACTAAAATAAACTATCAAAAAGCCTTTTAACTCAGTCACCCTGATTGGCATGGAGCTGAAGGAACCTATTCCCTGAATTTTTACCTTCACAAAGAGTTCTTTTGGTCATCTGAAAATACAAATCACCAAGTAATTCAGGAAAAGCAAAATGTGTTTATTAAGGGGGGGTGTCACATTTTTCTATAGGGAACAGATACAAATGATACATACATTGAGAATAGGTGATGTGTCAGAAAGCAACAATAAAAGACATTGTTTAGATGTGAGAAAAGCCAGATATCCTTAAAATATGTTGTATCTTTCCCATTTGTGCTTGTTTCTTTAATACTTGCAGCACTCAAGAGCACTATTGTTTAGTTTATGAATAGGCTAATTTTTGTGTATTAAAAAAGAAGTGGATTTGGCGAAAAAAAAAAATAGTTTCCTGAAATTTAAATGAAAGCATGGATCTCATTCTAAAATGCTAATATCACCTTTAATTAAAAGCCCAATAATGAAGCCTAAAATTTGAATTAATAGTTTGAAATGAATGTGTATTCCTTAAGTGTATTGAAAAGTTACTGTGCATATGCATGGAGCAAACCACTTTTAAAGCACTAGAATTTATAGCCAGGAGTGTTCTTTCTGATATAATTCAGAGTTCTGTTTGGATTCAGTACAATCATTCCAGATTAAATGCAGTCTTATTTCTATCCATGACATATGTTAGTTTTTGAGATGGCAAGTCTGTTATTTCATGAGTAGATTAAGTATTTATTTTTTTAAAGTTTTTGTTTTAATAATGAAACCGTAAGTTCAGATTAACTGGATACTGTTCTTTCATCATCAATGGGCTTTTAGCTATTAATATTTCTTCCCCATTCATTCCATATTTACCATTGTGAGTTAGGTTCTTCATTATTTATACTTCTACTTCATGCTGAAAAAAAATTGCTGATCTGTACTTCTTATGAGTGATGTTATATCTAGTTTGATATTAACTGAATCAATTTTTGAATTGGAAAACTTTTAATTGCTATAAAGCTCTGATTTAGTAAAGGAAGCTAAAAGATTGTGTAATTAATTTTTCATACGTTTTCTTGAAAATTAAAAGCAGTTTAAATAAAATATTTGATTACATTATTTATAATATATTATTTATTTTAGAATGTTAACGGCTGCAAAAATAAGTGTTGAATATCCATCTACTTTCCTTGTCATATCTTTTCATGATAGTGGAATTTTAACTTCATTAATTTTAACTACATATTAGTAGGATTGAAATTAGCTTTTGAAATATTAATATTGTCTTATGATTATTCAGATTTTCAGTTTTATATGTATGCTACAATATTCTGTACATTTTTATATAAGAAAATGAAATAAGTATAAGTTTTATAAACCTAAACTAAACTGGTGACTTAAAACTATTTATGATAATGAGGTCTTTAAATTAACAAGTCTTAGTATATTTTAGTTATATATTAAAATAGAGGAGAAATATTCATTTGCCATGTTAGTTCAATGAAAGGTTCCAGTAAATATTGTTGCTATCATAGAAGCAATTAGTTAATAGACGAAGTATATGTAAAGTTTTGAAGAGTTTACTATATTTTCATATGTATAATATTCCTTAATTAAACTAATGCCAGATTTGGTCGACCTGGAGTTGAATGCTATTGCCAACATGATAGTGGTGCTGCAGTAATCCAGCTTCAGTTTTTGATCAATGAGGTTTGTAAACTTGTATCTGATTCCTTTACCAAGGGGTTGTTTTTGTTTTTGGTAGATAGAGAATTCAGAAACTTGTTCTATTGTACTGGGTGGCTAGTTACTATCAATGGTATTTAAAAACGTAAGACAAATTTGCTTATTTGATTGATTAAAAAAACCCATTCAGTAAAGATTTTTTTAACTTAAAAGTTGGTCTCTGTTACTATATTTAAAAATTTGTTAATTGTGAATATCCTCATTTATCCAAATATATTTTTTAACAGAATACTGAATAACAATATTTAAAATCCTTAAGATTATGTGTTCTTTCTCCTCTTGGTAGTGTTTTTATTTATATTGTTTTTTATTATTAAATTAAGTTTAGTTTAATAATTAGTTTAATTATTACAGTGTGTATGATAAAATGCAAATTGAATAAATGACTCTGCCTAATCTAAACAATAATTGGATAATAAGTTGTAGGAATTTCTGTTAGTGTATATACTTGGGTAAAATGGCAAATTATGTTTTATCATTCAGAGCCACTTAGTTGTATACTGCCTCTTTATTTTATGCATACAAATAAAGGAGATCAGAAGAAGTTTGTTTTTCTGACATTCTTTTCGAAGCTACTATGAGGTTCTTATATTAAATTATTGACTCTGAATGACATAATCAGAAATAAATGAAATGGATCTTACCACTTTGTATTTACAAAACCAATAACTTCAAATATATTGATTTTACCCTTCAATTGCTATTGTGGAACTAGTCTTCCTAAAAGGACAGTGTCCCTAAATCTCTACAGATTTTAACTATATTTTTCTCTTTCAAGGGTGCCCTTGTGAGTGCCTTGGCTGATGATACCTTACATTTATGGAACTTGCGTCAGAAAAGACCAGCTATATTGCATTCCCTGAAATTTAACAGAGAAAGGTAAATAAATAATTATACACATATGCACACACTCATACATCTATTGTTTTCATGTTATATGATCAACATTAGACACTTTTAGAAAGAACACTCTACGATTCCTAAAAATCTTCCTTAGATTAGTACAGCCAAAAAAGGCATCTTGCACTATAAAAAAAAACCAAGAATAATAGATGCATATAAGATTATTTTAAAAGGCTATATATCCTTAGTTTCATTAAGATGGTAAAAAGCAATAAAATGAAATACAGGTAGTCTGCATTTAACAATGCTAATTAGGACCAATTACTCCATTGTTAAGTAACATGATCATAAGGGGGAAAATGTGACTGCACCACTTATTGGTGGTAGCTCTGGCAGTCCCAGTTGTTAAGTGAGGAGCTCAGATGTTCATGACTCCCAACTTCCTGCTGGCTTCTCCATTGACTTTGCTTGTGGGAGCCGGCAGGGAAGATCACAAATTGTGATCAAGTGACCACAGCGACACTGCAATGAATTTAAGTTCAAGATCCTGTCATTACTACTACTGCATTACTAAGCATCCCCCCCCCAATCTACAAATATTAGACTTTTCTTGCTGCCTTTTCAAAAGATAGTCGCCCCTTAGGTTGTAATTATTAAATTCTGATTATGTTCCTTGATTGTCTACAAGCTACTTACTCTGTATGTTTTTGTGATTTTCTTCCTCCCTGGTTCTAAAAATCAAAAACATTTTGTTGCTTTTATGTTTTAATCACATCAAATGATTGTGAGCAAAATGAACCATATTAATTCTAGTATAAATCCATGGGGATGCACCCCCCCCCCCCTAAATCAATTACTACATAAGGCAGACCCTCTTTTTTTCAAGAGCCTTGGGTGAACAACTCTGTCAAAAAAACTTTTGGTAGTCTAAGTAACCTGGTTCTATTAGACGATTCTTGAATATGTGCCTATTAAAACACCAAGAATTTAGAACTTACAGTATATTTACTGCCAGGAGTTCAATTCCTGGTAGACAGTTTGTACCCCACAGAAAAGAATCTCACCTACATATGTCTGATGAATCATAAAGAAGATGAAACCAGTCAAATGCAGCCTCCTGGTGGTCATTATAAATAAAAATACTACACATGCCTAAAAATAGAAAATTTTTCCCATCCCCAACAGGAGGCATGGAAGTAATGTAAAATCTCATCATGAGGCCATGGCATATGTAATATCTCTCTGGTTTGAATGCTGATGGAAAGGAAGGTGGCTTATATGTACAATTCTAAGATGAAAGAATTTTAAAAATAGTGATATTGACTTACAACTTTTAATGAAGAAAACTCGTGGATTCTGAAAAGTATGACCACAATAGTACTCTTTTCACCAGAAACAAATATTCAGCTAATCAGTTTGTAATTTCATACATTAATCATGGATACCTTCTTAAATTGGCATTATATTTACCCCTTTTCCATTTTTTAATTGGAATAAAGGCAAGACATAAATACACTGAATAGTTTTGTTATTCAACATAAAAATTGTTATTCAAAACCAATTTTCAGAATTAAAATAAAGATTCAAAAGATGCAGAAACTAACAATAGTGATAATACATCAGATTCAGAAAATGAGAGTGATAAGCAACATTTCATGTGGCAAAATGTGTTTTCTGATGTGGCTTACCTATCTCTTTTTCTCCTGAAAACTAGTACTTTCTCTCTCTCTTTGATACAGTTGACAAAATATTATATATGAAGTCATGGGGAAGGTCTAGACATGAGTATAAAAAGCTCAATATGAGTAAGGTCTCTTGAACAGCAAGAAGTAGCAGGGAGACATAAAATTCTGTGTTTTCAAGAAGTCAGACAAGGCCAAGTGTCAAGACACAACTTATAGGATATTCTATAAGTTGTTCCAGTAATTTCTAACAGAAGTTTATATATTAGATACTTCTAATTGGTCCCAATCATACTGACTGAAAAAAATTGGTTGTTCAGGGTAATACCCTCCTCCTGAAAGTGTTGAGGTATCTTTCCAAGCCATCTGGCAATGTAGATCTACTGTTTGCTCTTGTCTCTTGTGGAGATTCTCAGTCATCCAGGTCATGGTTGTCTCAAAGGTGCTTTTTCAAAAGGCAACTGGGCTTTGTTTATTCATTGAGGAAATGTTTGGCGTCTCATTCAAGAAGTTTCTTCAGTTCTGTTTGAGCTAATAGGTTATGCCTTTTTGATGGGGTCAGAATTGGACAGCTAGGAACAATGGAGATACCTTTATTAAGATCTAGTCTCTGACCCTGCCGGATCAAAATTGACAAAATGAATTACATTTCCTTATCTACATGGGACAGGATGTGTGCTATAATGACGGAGAGTTAAAAGTATCTTTTAGTACTTAAAGCTTCATCAGCTTTGAGACTTTTTTTGTTTAGATAAAAATTAAAACAAAAACAATAAGTACGACTTGTAAATGTTTAGTCAGGTTATGGCATGTCCTTCCCTTTCATGCTAATTAATTGTTCATTCTTCAATCTTAGGCTATTAGATCAGGCAGAGGAATTATCTATTTACCCTCTGTTTTGTCCTTCCACATTTTAATCCAGATAAGAATGCTAACTAGTTAATGCTTATTTGGTGGCCCTAGTAAATAGTTTTATAAGCTTTTCCTGTTCTACTGCTGCTTGACTTCAGTAAAATCAACAGGCAGGAAGCAATTGCTTCAATATGGGGAAAAAACCAGCTTTGATGCAGCCCTGTCAAACTAATGTTGAACTAAGAATTACCAGATTTGGGACTATTGTGATATACAGTTGTATACTGGACACACTTTCTCTCTTGGTGCTAGTGATAATTCTACAATTCTACAGTTAGGGTAATCAAGGGATTAAGGCGACAGCTTACTTAGTGTCAGTGAGGTTGCTGGTGTTATACAGGCTTTTGTGAGCAAACAATATTTCTGTGATTGCTGTTAGGATTACACTGTTAGAATAGGGAGTAGTTGCTATAAGACAGTATCTGTTGTAGAGATAGTGATGAGGGATCCTGGCTTACAGGTAACCAGATAGCATTGCCCACAATGCCTAATCCGATGTTGCATAATCTTAGCTTGTTCCTTAATGCCAATGTCATGTATATTTAGGATCAGACAGGAAGAGAGTACACAAAGATTTTCTTGTGAATTAATTTAGTTGTTCTCCTTTTATTTGTAACATTTCCAGAATAAAAAAAAAGTTTCTCAGAGAATATTAACTATGCAAGAAACATTTGGTCAAAGTATACGAGCCAATCTTCACTTTCCCTTCTCTTTTGTCTTCTGAGGAATACAGTAAACTCTTATGGCTAATTTCTCTATAAAACCAGTATTAACTATCTCCATGCTGCCATAGTTTTGTTTCTGCTGCTGTTACATTGTATGTTTCTATCTTAAATTAGCTACTGTTATGTATATAGCAGCTACTAAATTCTCTGTACAGTTAATCAGGGCTTAAGGTACAGTTTAGCCAGTAATCTCTAATTCCAGTACAACCATTATTATCATCTTTCCTCTGGATATTGGTGCATGATAGGCAGAACCCTTGTCACATTATCTTTCTCTCACTCAGGAAGGTATGTCTCTTCAGCTGACTGATACTGCTTAAATCTATCTTTGCCTGCTAGTCATTTTTGTTTTTCTTTCCTCTGACTCCAACCGCTTTTTGACAGCTCCATAGCCCGCTTCAGCTTCTCTTACCAAGAAATACACTGTGCTCATGAAAAACTTGCTTTTCCTCTAAGCTGTTTCCCAGACTTAAGTTATCACAAGTAAAGTTTATGTGTCTGGCTGATCATGTAACAGAATGGTAAACAGCATTTATCTTCTCCACTCAGTCTTAGCTCTATTCTCTTAGGTAATCACTTTTTTTCTTGTTTTTCCCCAATGGTGCTGCTAATGTTATTTTGTCTTTACTGTCATTTCACTACCTATAAATTATGGCTACAATACATTGTGCAGTTTGTGAACTTATGTTATTAAAATCAGTAGAGCTTGCTTTTAAACAAAGGCCTGATTGTGATAGATTAAAAATATTTTGAATATGATCATAGAATATTAAAGTATAAATCTCCACTTGAGTATGAAAGTCAGTGATGAGCCTGAGCAAGTTATTGCCTTCAGTTTGGAGTCTAAAATATGTATATATAGTAATTGATCTTATATTATTAGAGTATCAATTGACAATATCTACCTGTGCTTTTACTTTAGTGCGACTGATTAAATTGGAGTTGAACTATTTAGGCTATGTAGCATAATATTGTTATTGCTGTTTCTATATGTTCCTAATTGTAGTTTTAAATAGAAGTAGCTGGGATTGGTCTTGAAATCATTTGAATAAGAGCTCTAAACAGTGAATGCATTTATTTTATTTATCACATTTCTATATCACCCATCTCAACTAAGTGATTCTGGGCAGCTTAAAAATAAAAAACATAAAAAGAGATATAGTTAAAAACAATATTAAAAAGAATTTTAAAAGTTAAAAATTCGAAAATTACAAAAGTTAAAAAAGGCAAAGGGAATGCCCTCAAGCTGCCAACCACCTCGAGAATTGTATGCAGTTCTTAGATCCCCTTGCCAGTTGGCAGAACCAGGTCTTGACACTCTTCAGGGGCAACAGCAGAGAAGGCTTTCTTTCTAGACTCTGCCAGTCAAAATTCTTTAACCAACAGGGTCCACAGCATATCCTATCTGCTTGACGGGGTGAGACAGGTCAACCGATCCCCAGGTGGAGCAGGTAGCCCTATGTAGAACACATTGCAGTAGTCTGTATTGGAAATGATTAGGGCATGAGTGACAGAAAGAAGGACCTCTCAATCCAGAGGCACAACTGGTGCATAATATGAAGTTGAGCAAAGATCCTTCTAGTCATAACTGCATCCTGTTCTTTGAGCAAGAGCAGTGAGTCCAAGAAAATCCCCAGATTGCATACCACTCCATCTGGAGCAGTGCAACCCCATCCAGCACCAATGATGGTAAACCCAGATAAAGAAGAGGCCCTACCTACAGCCACTCCATCTTCCCAGTGTTCACTTAAAACCTATTGTTCTACATCTAGACCCCTACAATCTCTAAATGCCACTTCATAAGGACATCCATAGCATCACTTCACCAGGGACAGAGATGTACTAATTGGTATCATCCGCAAATTGACAATAGCAATAGCACTTAGACTTACATACCACTTTGTAGTGCTTTACAGCCCTCTCTAAGTGGTTTACAGTCAGCATATTTCCCCCAACAATTTGGATCCCCATTTTACCGACCACGGAAGGATGGAAGGCTGAGTCAACCTTGAGCCGTTAACAATTGAACTGGCAGTCGGCAGAATTAGCCTGCAGTATTGCATTCTAACCATTGCACCACCGTGACTCTTACCTCATCCTATGTTGACAGATGATCTTACCCAGAGGATTCACGTAGATGTTAAAAAGGAGCAGATAGAGCCCTGAGCCCTGTGGCACCCCACAAAGTAGGGGTATGGGCTGGATCACTCACTTCCTATCAATCCCAGTTGGGACCAGCTTCAAAGAAGGAGGTGAAACAGCACAAAATGTATGACTGTTTCACGTTGGGCCATAAATGACCTGAGGTAGACCCATAGCCACCATGTTGGCCATAAACTCCCGAGGTACTTCCAAGGACAATAAATTGAAGCTCCCCAAGACCGTCTGCCTGGAGAACTACTGCCCAATTATCTACTAATTCATACACATATAAACATCCAAATTCAGCTCTGTCTTCTTTGCTCTCACCCTATGGAAGGCCACCCCTACCACACCAGTGGGCCCCCAGATTGAATTGCTCTCATGTAGGGTCCCCACATAATCAGTTCTCACAGGGCCTCAACCACCACCCTCAGATGGCCAGAGTGTCACTCTAGCTGGTCTTGTGATTCCAGCCACTGCTTGCTCTTGTTTGCTGTGACTGCAAGACGGCAATCTCACAGCAATCCCACAGGCCCTGCAGTATTGTTGCTGCCATCACCCCACTCGCTGATGCTGTTGGGTGCTAGCTGCTGGCCTGTTGCTTCATACTCCTATGGAGGTCCAGCCACTTTCCTGGGCCTGTTAAACCAATTGGCCATTGCCTGTTCCAGCCTGGTCTGGCTGCTTCACTCCAATCACTGGCCTAAGCCTCTGCCTGGGTAGCCCAATTAGGAAGCCTCCAACCTCTTGCCTGGAAAGTTCAGTCGGCTTCCTGGGTCTGCACATGGCATGCTGCCACTCATCATTCACCATTTCCTAATTGTTCTGCCCCCCAGGGAGGCACCAGCTGCTTGGTTGCTGAGTGCTCTAGCCGCTCTGTCATTATGACACATCTTCCAAGTTAGTATATTCTGAATGGTATTTTTAAATAATGGCTTTTTCTTAAAAGCTACAACTAGTACAAAATAATGTGGCTAGATTGCACAATAGGCAAATTATAGTAAACGATTTCACCTATTCTGAAGTTATTGGACTGGCTATAAATTTACTACCTAGTCAAGGTGAAGAAATCTGCTATAGAATACCAATCTATATATAGCTTAGGATCTGGATATCAAATGGTATGCTTATTCCCTGTCAACAAAGACATGGCAAAGATGCCAGCTTGAGTTTGCCAGGACTGCTGCCTCTTCATTACACATTTACTTGAAGGAGTGTATTCCCAAACACCATAGTAATAGAATCTTCTCTGTTTTGGCACCAAGCTTCCATTGCTAGTTTAAGACCTATCTGTTTGCTTTGTTTAATTGATACTGCTTATATTGTTTAATAACTATCCCGTAGTCACAGTTTTAAGATTTAAATATCTTTGATTACTGATAATTTAATTTATAAACAATACATTATTTTGAAGCATTCTTTTAACTTGTGATCAGTTTTTTTAAAGAAATATAATTGAATATTGTGATTTTTAAAAAGCAGTGTAAATGTGGGAAAAATAGACTAACATGAAAGCCAGTGCCTGCAAAGTAGTATGTGGAACAATCTCTTTAGTATACACATTTGCATTGTACATGTGAATTTCATGTCCAAAATTACTTTACAACATAGTAATAGTGTCACTGCATCCATCATGAGGTGAACATAACCAGTTTTGTAACATTTGAATAGTTACAGATATTTGACAAACTGATAATGCATTAATGCATTTTTAATTTGACCTTTAATGTTTAAGATTTTATAATGAAGCTATTTTAGGCAACATGTTTGTTTAATTGTTATGCATTATGCTAAGTTTTACAAAGCATGATAAAGGTTTCTCTTAAGTAGCTTTGACAGTTTTATCAGAGGAGACATATGGCCTACAAATACCAAAGGAAATCCTTTGAAAGCATCTGCAAATTGCCTCTCAAGTGACCTTGTTTTACTGTTAATACATTTTCATAAGTAATTATACAGATCATATTTAGACTTAATAATTTCATAATGTTTATTTTAATAAGAGCTGTATTGTAGAGCTGCAGTTTTACTATTTTATTAGCCACAGACATTCCAATAAACACCATGCTAAAATAAAGCCTAAATTAATCTACTTAGTACTTGATTTTTGTTTACCATTAAAAAATTCAGTTATTGAAAAATCTCTTGTCATTACTACATTTCCCATGTACAGTTTGTGTCTTTTGATGCTTATGTTCCCAAAAGATTATAAACTAACAGAAAAATTATTAAAAAATATTAATTTAAAATAATTTATTTTAATTATTGAAATAATTAACTAAAACAAGGCAATATAATTGTAGTAATTAGAAATTCTGAAAGATATGAGTACTAGGATCCTTAATTTGAACCATGTATTTTATAGATAAAAATATTGACTTAAAATGCAAATCTTATAAAGAAGTATTCTATGAAAGAAATGCTATTCAGTTTTTATGTTTGAATATAGTAGAAATAAATATTTTGGTAGATTGCATTTTTTCTATTAGATTTCATTGTAATGAGCAGAACATTTTAGTAACCAATTTTCAGATTTGAGATGTAGCAATTTGTCCCAGACATTTGTGACAAATTTGAAGAAGAAGTCATACAGTGTTAGATTTTCCAAAATGTTTTGGAAATATACTTACATTTTGTTGATCATAGAAAACATTTGACATATTTCCATATTTAAAGTCATAGAAGTATACTAGTTAAGAAGTAAAATGTGTTCTGTTTTGTGTGTATTTTTTTAATAGAGGCACATGGTTAGAAAATAACATTGTTGATGATGTTGAAAAAACTATGCTTAGCTTCCCCTTGGGGAAAAAAAGCAGTTTAGATAATATTGAATTAACTGTATGTGCTTTTGATAATTTTGTGTGTCTGTATTTTATTTTCAAACTATGCATTCATTTTATGGTAGTGTCTGATTTTACAATTTTGAATTTACTATTTTTAATACTATTTTTAATGTGTTCTCTTTCAGGATAACATTTTGCCATATGCCTTTCCAGAGTAAATGGTTGTATGTGGGCACCGAAAGAGGAAATATACACATTGTCAATGTGGAGTCTTTCACTCTCTCAGGCTACGTCATTATGTGGAATAAAGCCATTGAATTGTGAGCATGATATGGGTGAAAAAAATGTATATAGTCCATTTGGACTCTATTCTTTAAAATATATAAATAAATATATTTTTTTTACTGTCGCTTTGATGCTTTGACTATTGCTGTCCAGTAGGTATAGACATTGCGTCACATAATAAATCTGTTCGAAGAAAATATTGTTGTAAAACAAGGACCATTCCAATATTATATTAAGTGGTTATATGCATAAACCTGTACTCTATTCCTTTACTCATTTATAATTTATTATAGACCCATGAATATAACTGTTCTCTTCCAGTAGTATTTCAATAAATGTTGAATGAGATACGTTATAGGAAAGTGGGCTAAATGGAGACGTGGGATTTTGAATAATGTGGAGATCCATTTTCTGCATAATTCTTCTGCCCAATTTTCCAACATACTCACCTTTATTTACCCACCTCACCCTCACAGCAGGGATGCAGAAAAGTATCTGCTAATGAAAATGTTAGTAAATAACGAAAAAAGTAATTACATTTATTGAATAAGTGAGTGTTGAATAATTTTTAAGATTATGTTCTCTTTCAATTAATAATTAAAAAATACAATTACAAACTAATTAACTAATGCAAACTTACAAAAGAAAACAATAAAAAGAAAATATAGAAAGTATAGAAAAGAAAGAAAAGAAAAATGGGGAAGAAATGGCGAACTGAAGATGACTCTCTGTAGTCCCAGTGACTACAGCAAAATGTAGAGCTGGCAAGTAGACCTGCAGCAGGTTTCCATGTGCTGCTGGGTCTTGCAGTTGGCTGAGATTTGGCCAGTGGTTTCTGTAGGCTGTGCTGGGCTCCCAGAGATTTTCCCCCGCCCTCTGAGGTACTCCTGCATGCCTTACCTCAGAGTCTGTCTGCTTAATGATCATGAGATTGCTTAACAATCACAACAAGGAGTGCCAGATTTGTGGTCATTGAGCAAAGTAATTATGGGAAATCTAGCTTAATGATCGCTTTGCTCCAGAGATTCTGTCCCAGTTGTGATCATAAGTTGAGGACTATCTGTATTTGAAGGGACTAAAGATCAAAATTATTAAAAGGAAGGAATATGATTTGGTTTACTGTATCAAGATTAAAATAGATATGTTATCTCTAATAACTTTTAATAGAGTTTTGCTGATCAGGATTGAATGTCAAAACTTTAAGGATTTTTTATAGATAAGAGATGAGATATGGGGAAAAAGAAAGAAGGTGATAAGTTACTAAAATGTTCTACATTTGTGATGAAGAGGGAAGTTATTTCTTCATATATTTCTTTAAATTTTATTTATTTGTATAAATCACTTTTATTTAGGGTACTAGATCTGAAGGCAGTCACATAAAATTGAAAAACTGTGGTTCAGGTAAACAACATAAGCCACCCAGAGTTGTTTCAATATAAGATGGGCGTCAAATAAATTTAATAGATAAATAAATAAAAATAAAATAAATAAAGATTGACCAGATCAAAGGACTTAAAATATTCAACCAAGTGAAAATATAATAGCTGAAAGCACTTGGGCAAATTAAAAAAAAATACTATTTAGAGCAGACCTGGGCATTTTATGGTCCCCAGGCCACATCAGGTCCTTTGGTTGTCCCTGTCCGATCCATGTGCGATCAATCAGAAATTAGAAATCAAATGTAAATAAGCGCACCTCAGAGGATGGGAGAAGAAGCTGAGTCAGGCCCGCTGCGCAGTTGCTGTGCACTTCTTTAAATGGTTGGCAGCCGCAAGAGAATGAGGAAAGAAAGTACTTTTTGATGCCTATGCAGCGCTCACCCCTTGCCTGGCGCCACCTGAGGAAGAGGCGCTGTCACTGCATGAGGGGACCTGGGCTGGGCTACCCACTGCCATCTCAGTCAAAGCACGGTCTTACAAGTGAACTGGTAGAGCACAGCTGGGAGCTAGCAAGTGGGAACGCAGTAGCAACAGCAACAGAGTGGTGGCCAGGCCAGATAAAATATCTTCACGTTCAATTCTGCCCACATACACTGTGGTCTCTAGCAGAAAGAATTAGTGCTCCATGACTACCCCGGGATGGAAAGTGTTGCTTGCTCCTTCTTTAGGGCTCTAAGATATGGCTGGCACCTTGACTTGGGCTCATTAATGGAAAGTCAGTCTGCTTAATAATGGTATTGGGGTTTACACTGTAAATGATGTAGTATTCTAAATATCTGTATTTTTGCTTTTTAAAAATATTGTTTAAATTTTTAGGTCATCCAAGTCTCATCCTGGACCTGTTGTTCATATTAGTGACAATCCAATGGATGAAGGCAAGGTATGTTAAAAAACACACTAAACCAAACCTAAATTATATTGAAGAAGATTGTGCTTTAGCGCTAAAGTATGACAGATGCTTTATTGAATGTCCCAGTTTACATATTTACATATATCAGGCATTAGAACAATGTATTTTTTGCAATTACTGTATATCCCCAACGGCTATTTGCAAGCAAGCCTACTGACTATTCATAATTGTACTTTTGACATGTTATGCTTCTAAAACAAGTAAATGGAAACTCTAATAAATGCTCAAATGTTTACTTTAGTATGCGTTTGTATTAATGTAATCAATTACCAAAACATCTGGTTGCTTTTTAAAACATTAAATTATTTTTATTACTTTAAATATGAAAAAAGAGCCAAACACAGCAAAAACATAAGAAAACAAAAACATGTTATAATGTATATAACTACAGTAGTTATGAAACACAGTACTAAACGTGAATCACATAGAATAATACTCAATTTTAATAATAATCAGTATTTCCAATACTTCAGTAAATAGCAGACAGTTAGCACATACCATCTTATCTGTGTTTGTATTTTTCCATGCTAAAAGAATACTCTTGTTTGCTACATCCTAAGCTTGGTAAATCCATAGATTTTCATAAAATGATGAATTCCAATTTTTTGCCAGGTTCAATGAACATCTTTAATTATATTGCTCTTTTCCAAACTACATTAACAAAATAATGAAATGAAATAATGAAAATTGGACAACAGTGGGTTAAATTGATGGTATGTACATAGGTGTCCCCCAGCCATTGTCTACTTTGAGCATAATGAAATTGACAGCCATTTATGAAATTTGTGGGTGAACCAATGAGAAAAGCTGTTGGGTGCCATCAAGTCATTCACTCTCAATGACCACATAGATTAGATTTTCTTCATGAGTTGTTGAATTAGTCTCTTCTAAAGAATATCTTTAAGATACTTAACTATTGATTTAGAAATATAGGGTTTCCAGTTCTTTATTTCAAAGTTTGTAAATAACTAACACCCACCTTAACAAAATTATTTAACTATGTACTAAAACACTATTTAGAATATTCCAAAGTATAGTTCAATAGCAATAGTTATTGTTAATAATCAGGAGTTTCTGATGCTGCTAATGCATTTGGATCATATTGTGAAATCAACATGTTTAATTGAATATACTCTCATTCTCTGTTTTAAATAATCCAGACTCCTCCTAAAATAATTTAAATAATGCATACCAATGGTAAGGTTGAAAGTCAGGAAAACTAATCCATTTCATCATATTGAGATGATGTTGAGATGAATAAAATCTATGAGTTTATGCTTCCCATTTTTTAATTTTAATTTTTTAATATTTTCAAGAATTTATCAGTTTACCTGAAATATTCTGAAGGTACAACAATGGGAATATTTTCTAAGCACACATATTATCTAGGAAGTAATACTCATTTTGACAACATTGGTCTTTCTATTGTGATTTTTAACTATGTCAATACTACTCAGGTAAAATGTCTCTATATACTGTACATATTCACTTCATTATATTGCTATCCTTCAGAAGGGGAAGGGGTTGATCCATGTTTCTTTTTACCTTTGGACCAATAATTTAAACAGTATTATCTGCTTATTAATTAAATAACAAAGCAGTCAAAAGATGAGTTCCTTAAGCTGAGACAAAATTGGGCTAGCAAATTCAATTTGAAGACATCAGCCAAAATTCTAACATAAATTTTTGTTTGATATTTTTAGGTAGATTATGTCTTTTGTATGGAAGATTGATGTCTAATTTTCTATTTTTGTCATTCATTAGTTTGTGTACAGTTTTATTAGCTGAAATGGAATATAATGCAGAATAGTTTTGTTAGCAGGATAAACCTTAAATATTAGAAAATCTTCTCTGATATCTGATTTTATATTTAAAAATTGATCTTGTATGCATTTATGACCAGCTCATGCTATACCTTTAAACCATTTTGATAAGCAGGAAAATCAGATTGAGAATTCAAATTCCAAAACAATATTGGCTAGTCTAAAGCACAGATCTAAGCTTTTGTGTGCTTCATAAGTAATTTTCATCTGTTTTTTTCCCTCTGTCTTGGTCCTTTTTGAATGATATTCTTAGAATAATATTCTTAGAATCATTAAAAGCTGCTCTATTCCTGAAATCCTGTTAGATGTGGGGAAAGGAACAGACTACATTAGACCAATCCATATTTATTTATTTATTTATTTCAACAAAATATACCCGTATTTATCGGCGTATAACACGCACAGGCGTATAACACGCACCTTCATTTTAAGAGGGAAATTTCAGGAAAAAAACTTAAAGGTGGGGCCGGGCGGCGGAGCGCTTATATCGGCGTATAACACGCACACATCATTTGCCCCCTATTTTCAGGGGGGAAAAGTGCGTGTTATACGCCAATAAATACGGTAATACATACTAAGGTCTATCGGTAGAAATACTGGAGCTGATTTGAGATACTAGCAAAAACCCATTCTATCTAAAACTAAAAGTCTTTAAGCAAGTCTACTTTTCTTTGGTCATATGCAATAACAGCCTTTGCAGCTAATCAGTAAAGGCTTCTATTTTCCCAGCCAAGTGGAGATAAACTAGGGACAAAGCAGGGCCATCCTTTGGGGAACTACTAACTGCATCATCTTCAGATAATATAGCCTAATGAAATGCTCGCTGCTAGGTAAGATTGAAGAGCCTAGGCAGCATTGTTATGAGATGAGTGGAGGGAAATGCAGCTTTCTATTATATTTGAGGTTTTTTTAAAATATATATATATATATATATATATGAATTGTTATATTTGTAAATCTTTTTCCGTGTCATGTTTCTTTGTTTACATTCATGGTATATTTTTATAAGGGGTTTCATTCAAGTATGCAGTGATTTAGTTGTAGACTGTATTAGAATGTTTAAGGAGATAGTGTGCTTAATGATGTTTTGTTATCTTAAGTGGTTCTTAAATCTTCCAATAGTTACTCACTTTAGTAATAAGTAATTTAGTACTATGTTATATACTTTGAATCAGATACAAGGTAAGAAACTGCAGGCCTTACTTTCTAAAAGAAGAAAAAGAGACTAACCATTTTAGAAACTGAATGCAGAAAAGTGCAGAGGAATAATTTATTTTCCCAAATCAGTTTCTAGCATTTTTCAGCTCAGCTTCCACTTAGGGCAATAAATACATTTCACATAAATCAGTACAGTACATGGGTTCACTGTCTCTCTATATATGTGTATATCTGTCTGCCTATCTGCCTATTTACCTACCTACTTACCTTCCATCTTTCCACATGAACTGAAAAGGCAGTTATACAAGTTGTGCTAAATTCCAGCTTTTACCCCCCCATAGTTTGCAGAAGGAGAAAATGTTACCTACCATAGGTTACAAAAGAGGCTAAATAACTGTATAGGGGGGAAAAAGTAATATAGTCCTGGCTTATTTTTTAAAAAACTCTAGGAAGATAATGGTTCAGTTCATATTTTAAAAACTGACTTGGAAAAAACTGATCTTACCACTAAAATTACTGTGTCATGGGGAGATGAATTAGATCTAAAAAAAAAAACAAAAAACAACGTAAGATAAAACAGACACTCTGATATATTTCCTACTGAATCATTGTTATGTAGAGAGTTTCTTAAGTCATACAGTATATTCTTAAAATAGCCTTCAAACCCTGAAGGCCATTTCTGCATTCTCAATTAAGTTCAAGAAAATATAGAAGAAGAATTGACATATTTGCTAACATATCACTCACTCCTAAACCTTGAGGCATGCCCAAAAGATGTCATGATTGATGGTATCAAAAATCACTAAGAGCTCAGTAAGGGCTAGGATGTATACATTACTACCATCCCAGACCAATCAGAGGTTATCTAAAAGTGCATCTGCTGCTGCCTCAGTATTACATCCTGGTCTGAAAGCCAATTGGAAGGATTCAGGGTAATCTATTTACCCAGAGCCCTCTGCAGTTGCACTCTTTTCAATAGCTTTCCCGCGAAAAGGAGGCCAGATAAAAATTGTCCTGGGAAGGTTTTTTGAGAAGGGGAGGGACCACAGACTATTTAAGAACTGGAGATATCACTCCCCTCTTCAAGGAAGCTTTTCATGCCATTTGAATCCAATTATATATTGTCTGCTGGGAGGCCTTAATCAACCAGGTGGGTGACTGCACTTTACACATAGAGGACTAGTCCATTTTTGAAACTAAGTTTAACTTCTTACAGGTTCAATTCTTGTGTGCTGTAAGAATTAATTTAGTTAATCTAATATTTGACAGATAAAGCAGCTTGAGTCAATAAACTATGAAGGGATGTGCTGAACTCCAAGGTACAGACCAGACCAGGAAACGTACTCCAGGGTGGCCTAAAACTACTTTAAGATGGACTGTTTTAACAGAATCCTGAGGCATAAATTACTCTTGAGCAAGATTAGATCTTCCTTTGAATGGGTTGCACTATTTTCTGTTTTCTCCAGACATATAATTTGCTTTCTTGGTTTACCAAGTTTGTGCTGTACAAATATCATAAGAGAAAGAATAGGTTGCTTATTTTTTAACTATAGTTCTTTATTTAGTTTCCTATGCTTTTTACAGGTATCTGTCAGAGCAGTTTTCAAACTTCTGTGGTTGCTATGGCAATTTCTAGGATTCAGTGAAGGGGAGGAGGCTGGAATCATGCTGCATGTCTGCATTAAGAAAAATAGCACCTGTGAAAGTGCATAACGCATATTTATTTTTTCATATAATCTGTAAGGTTACCCATCTCCCCAAAGTGACTCTAATGACATACAAAGGTTAAAACCACAATAACAATAGTTATTAAATGCCAATGCCACAAATACAGTCCAACTCATGCAGAATAATTTAATCACGTTTAACCAGCAGAGTTTGCCTATGCACATAGCCTAAACACTTGGAAGAACACCCAGAATCATGGCCATCCTAATCTCTGGGGCGATGCTGTTCTATAGGACTAGTACCACCACAGAAAAGACACAACTCTGGGATGCAGCAAGATAAGATTGTTTACAATAATGGAAAGTACATGTGTATGATTAGAGAGGTGACCATTCAGAACAGCACAGATAAGCATCTTTATAAGCTCATCTGCAATTTACAAACTTCCTAGGATATCATTTATATGTATCAGAATATCCAATTATTGGATGTCACAAACAAATGAGATCTGAGTTATCATTTGTCTACAAAACTTACTGAAATATTAATTTATCTGGCATGCAGATGTGGTTATAGTAGAGAATTGTATGGTAATTTGGTGAGCCATAGAGTTGCACTGATTATTATATACTAGAATGACATTAATACAACTTGTAATTTATTACAGCTGTTGATTGGTTTTGAATCAGGAACAGTGGCATTATGGGACCTCAAATCCAAGAAGGCGGAATACAGATACACACATGATGAGGTAAAAAAAAAAAATAAGTCTGGCATGTTTTGAGTCATACTGTAATTTTGTTGACTGTATTGGAATTTTGCAGAAGAATTACTATTCAGTAAATATTTACTCAGCATTATTGCTTATATTTATGGAAGAAATATATCTAGATACAGTCATCCCAGTAAAGCAGGAAAATATTCAATTTATTGATTCATACAGGAATTTAAAGGTTACTCAAATGGCTTTAAGTATTGTGGTACCTAAAATTATATCTCATATATAGAGGACAGATTAGATTATATGTTTTAACCCTCCTCTGGGAGGGTCAAAACTATCAGACCTATTTTTTCCTGGTATATAGGATTTGGTGGCGAGCATTAATAAGGAAAACGGATATCTTAAAACTTGCAGAGGTTATCTTAACATTTCTGACTGTAATCTTTGAAAGTTCCCAGAAAACTGTGGAATAATAAAAATTGCAAATTTAAAGAAAGGAGAAAGAAGTATCTAAGAAATTAGGGATTAATCAATTTAATATCTATACAGGCAAGAAACTAGTTACTAAGCTAGAATAACCTAGTTACTAAGCTAGAATGACCTTTTAACAGCACTGCTTTGTCAGATAATTTTGTCTCTTTTATCACATAAAAACTTACCGGTAGTTATGTAGTAGTAATAGTTTACTGACTGATTAGTCTTGCAACCTTATCAGTAAAATAAAATAAAATAAAATACAATACGTAGTCTAATTTCAGAGTGAAATAGATAGGGAGAAATACAATGATAAAATACATATCATATACATATGTGGTAACACAAGGAGTTAGTAATCAGATAGATGAATCTCCCTCACAGGGAATCCCAATCTGTTCAATGTATCAGATTTGTAGGATCGCTGTCTTAGTTATAAATTTAGCTGTTCTGCATACAATATGTACATTTGAGCCCAAGAGGTAAAATATGATTATGGTTAGGATCGCAGTGGGCTGTTCTTTCCAATAAAGATGATAAGTATTTAAGCCTAGTGGGGACATATAATTGAGAATTTGACAATATATGAGAAATATTTTTAATGGCTGGAGTACTGCATATACAGGTTCTCTCATAATATGGCAAGTATTGGAAATGCTCATCCTTGGCCATGAAGTCCAACAATTCAAGGTTAACTAGAGCAAAGGAAAGCTGCGGATGTTGTATGCCTTGATCTCAGTAAAGCATTTGACTAGGAGATTCAAAATAGCCTTGTGGACAAGATAGAAAAATATGGACTAGATGGTATTGCAGTTTGGGATATTTACAGCTGTTGAACAACTGCATCCAAAATGTCCTCATTACTGGTTTTGATCATTGGGGGGGGGAATGTTGAGTGGAATTCTTGAAATTTTTATTCTCATTCCAATGCTATTCAGCATCCTTGAATACCTGGCTTGTGGTAGTGCATATGATCAAAATCTAGAAATATTGATGTAGCACTAGTTACATCCACTTCTCATTTAGTGAACATATTCTGCTAAGCAAAATGGTCACCAAGTGAACATATGACAGAGAGAGACAGAGACACACAGAGAGAGAGAGACGTTGCAAAGATTATTGGTTGTTGTCATCTCATTCAGATAAAGGTCTTTTGTACGGCTACTCCAGTGTTATTTTTCCTCCAGCATGCATTGTTGTCAGGTGCATGACATTTGGTGGTAATTGCATGTATTGGTCACAAAATGATTTTTTTTAATTACCATGGTATTTGCGAACGGTCACTAACTGAAGAATGGGCGTACATGTAAGCAATCTGTATGATGTAGCAACTAAAAAAGGCAAATTACATCCAGATCAGTAGGACACTGTGAACTTTGTTGATTAAAACACATTTGAAGTATAGTTCTACCTTGGTCCTCATCAGTAATTCGTTCCGGAAGACATGCCGAATACTAAAACCAATGGGTACCGAAGAAACCATGTGACTTACCATGTGACCTGCTATTTCGGCCAGAAGAAATAGTGAGTCATGAGGCAGCCAACATCATCAAGTTCTTTCTTGCATGTTGATTACCGCGAGAAACACGAGTGTTGGGACAAGATTTCTGCTTCAAAACGCGTCGAATACCAAATTCAACGAGTTTTGATACATCAAATGCCAAGGTATGACTATACTTTATTCCACTTTGGGCAGTACATTTTAAAAGGATACAGAGACCCTCTGTATCATAGGATACTGAGTTCATAGGATATATACCAGAATGATGAGGGCTCTGGAAATCAAGCCTTATGAAGAATGGTAATTTGTTTAACTTACAAATAGAAAACTAAGAGGAAGTATGAAAACAGAAATATCTAAAGTCTATCACATCACGGAAGAGTGTATTGTTGTCTATTGAAACTGAAAGAAGGACAAGATTAATATATGTCAATTAAAGGAGATTAAGGCTAAATATTAGTAAAATGTTCTTAATGACGTGCTATTAAACAGTTTTCCTAAAACATTATCTGACTACCTCTTATTTGATGTTTTCAAACTGGCTGGATGGCCCTATTAGAAATGGTTTAGTGAATTCTTGTACTTTTCATCAATAACAATTTAATTCATCTGTAATTTCCCATCTATATAATAGTTTTCCAATTTTAAACATTTGCTTTTCTGCTATAGGTAAATAGGTGTTCACATCACCTACTTCAAATAAGCTTTAAATATTTTTCAGCTGCAGCATATTCCAGAATGTAGAATCTTAAGACTTAACTTCATAGAATATATGTCCCCTAAAGCAAGAACCACTCACGGTTGTTTATTCTCATATAAGTATCTATAGGATTGTTGCCTAAAACATTTTGAGTATCATTAAAAAGGATTTTAAACTTTTTAAAAAATTGGAATTATATGGAATATAATATAGTTCTTTTAATTTGTGGTGTGTGTGTGTGTGTGTGTGTGTGTGTGTGTGATATCTATCACTTAAAAATCTGATTAGATCCAAACTTGGCATTCTGCATATGAGAATCAGTTCCTTGATTGACGGATTTTACACAATTTTCTTCTATTGTATTAGTTCAATTAGTAATATTTCATTTTGACTTTATCATATTTTGCTATTTCATTAGCTTATTTCTAATTTTGGAGTGAATTTTGTATGCATATAATTAGATTGTCTAGCTCTTTTTCTTTCTTAATGTTTTATTTTTAAATTTCAGGTAAGTTAAATTAGCTAGGCGAACATTTGCTGGACACAATAATTAAGGTAGTGATGGCAGAAACTCTATTCTGTAATTCATTTTGCAAAGTGTATAGCAGATACACTGTGGGTAATAAAGGATAGGGAGGTCATGGAAGTTTTGTTAAAATATATTGGTTTGATAATCTTATAAAATACCATCTTTTTCAGTGATACACAAGTTTACTTTCAGAAGTATAACCTATTACATGTAAGATTTTCTGACCCTTGCCCTGACATACTTGGAAGGTTCTTTGTAAGGGCACTTAAACCTACACCTCTTCTACATAGCAAAGACCTCAGTTGGCTGTAGGTGATGGCTTTTCCTATCATCAGGAAGGTACAGAACGTTTATGAGAAAAAAGGGAGGAAGAAAGGGAGGCACACCACATTTATAGATTATTTATGAAATAAAAGTTGTCATTTTTATAATTAACTGCATAAGTCATATTTTAAATATTATGAAAAATTAGTGACCTTTTTCTAAGGCTCATGCAAGACTAGTATATAACATATTTAGGTTGCAATGTAAGATATAAACTCTTCCCAGAGTTGATCATAGGATGAAATTTTAGCAGTAATTAATAGCAATATATCATAAAAGGTAGTAATCATAAAAATGGACATTTTACCCCTAAGTATTTGAAACCAATTCTGAAGAAAAAGGAAATAGAAAACAGGCTCTAGGGATGGGCTTGGTCAATTTCAATTAGTAAAGTACTCCAGAGATCCTGTAGGCATGGAGGAAAAAGGGAATCCTCTCCCATATAGCAAACACCCTGATTTATTTCAGATGAGGACAGGTGAGAAAGTGTAAACAGTCTGATAAGGTTAAGGCAGTCTTTCAGGTAACTTGGCAGCAAATCATTTAATCCTTTAAAAGTTAAAACCAACTTTTTAAATTGGGTTCCAACAAAACTGGCAGTTAACAGAGGTCACAATTCAGTATCATACACAGATTAATCATTTAATCATTTAAATGACAACAGGCATAGATGATAGTTTGAAAAAAGATTTCGGGCTGCTGCAACCTCCCCCATCCCTATAAGAAACAAATAATTTTGGAAGCCCAATCCTTCAAAGATAGGGCTGCTCCAAGCTTACACCCCCCAAATGTTGATTTATTTATAGTATCCATAGTGTTGATTTCCCTCTCTGAATCACTTTTGTGTTTCCTGACTTAAACATATTTGTACCAATATGTATATATAATGTATGTAAACATATACATGGAACTGTATTGTACTCTTTTTTATTAAAAGAAGACTCTTTACTCTTAACATTTCCATAAGAACAGTTACACGCCCACTTGAAGCCATATTAAATCCCACCTAAGTATTAAGATGGTAAATTGTTCTCGTCTTGTTTAATCAGCATGATATTTAAACAGAAATTCCAATTTCTGGTATTTCATAGTAGATGCTGCCTTGGTAACCATGAACACTCCAAAGCAAGGAGCATATTGGCTATTTTAAGGGAGCATTCTGTAAAAGAGAGAAAATATTTTCCTTTTTTAGGACATCATATGGCGGGTCTTCAGTCCATTCAGGAGGCAGAAGCCTATTTGTGATGTGTGATGTCACTAATGTGGCCCTCTGCTGTACCCCAAGACTGGATGCCCTACATCCAAAGGTTAGTGAGTGTAATAGGTTAGGTATTTATAGCTTTATTAGAAAGGACATACCACACATATTTAATTTCCTTAGAAATTTTATCAAGTCCTATGATTGAAGAATCTTAAAAATGGTCAGAAAATTCTTGCCTTTAAAATATTAGTCTATGCAATGTAAGTTGGAAGTGCTTACCTTTAAGCTTGCATTTTACAGA